CTTATCCGATGGATGATGTAATGATCCCTCGGTGAAAAGAGGAGAGGAGAAAAAAGGCCACCGCGATTCGGGCTGGAATCGCGAGAAGCGCTCACGGAGAAGCGTAGCCGGGGCGAGCGGCACAAAAATGGCTCCGCACGAAGGACGTATCAATTTAAGTCCACTCTCCATCCCGACTGTACCATTCATTAATTAACTTAACTACACGACGGCGCATCATCGCAGTCCATAAGCATGGTCTCGAGGATGAACGAGAGGAGCTGTAACGGATACAGGAGCCTCTAATCATTTTTTTTTTCTCCTTTTTGTTGCTTCTCGTTTTCAAGCGTTTCCATTAGAAAAAAGACGAACCTTTGCGGCGTCCAGTGATGTCCCCGGTTTACAATTAGTTCATTCAACAACGCCGTTCGGCGTCACTTGAAAGGACCGTTTAGAAGTTCGCCAATGCTTTATTTTTTGCTGCTCTTCCTTCGGCTCTCACGAACGGTGAATGAACAGACTGAAAGGATGCATCAGGACAGATGAACGGAACAAAAGGCGGTCTGGAGAAATGATTAAACCGATCCTTTCGTGGAGAGTCCAATTGATAATTGGTAGCAATTTCGTTCACGCCAATTGCCGAAGACACAGATTACGAGTTTCTTGCGTAGCGGTTCTTCACACGCGCCACTGGGATCCGGTGTTTTTTTGTCGTTCCAATCGAATTCTCGAACTGTCGTGGAAACTTCAGATAACGACGGAATCTAGGAAATCAATTATTCCAATTTTCATCGGAGCAGCGAGCTTTGTCCGTTGTTTATTGAGAGGGGATAGGCTACCCTCGATGCATTTTAATTATCCAGGGGTCAGATAAAGGGACGCTCGGTCCAGAAATCAACGTCCCGCTCGCTTATCTTCCCCCTAAGAACCTTCCAACCATTTCTAGGTTCTTTTTCACGCTCCACGATTTCGAAATTCCCGAGGCTGACAAGCAGTTTGACGAAGCGTCGAACCGTGGTCCAGATAAGCGGCGAAAACCGGGAAAACCCGGAGGCGCACGGGTCGATTTATAATGTGAAATTGGTGTTCGCGGCGAGCTGGAATGGCGCCCGCGTTATTTACTAAACACGAGTAACAGTGTAGTCCGGTTATCGTATCTCGAGGTGATGCCTAGGATGACCTTACTACGCTTGCATAATCGCGATCGTGAGCTTTCTAAACTCGGCTCCGGGGCTGCTTCACGAATTCGACCCTGGCGATAATTTATCGTACTTTGGCATTAAACGATCTAACGAGCATTGCCTCGATAGAGACGTTATTGTTATTAATACGCAAAAAGAATGGGCAGGCCTAGCCGCGCGTCGCTGCAAGCGCGCCAATTAGCTGCGCAGCCCGCCCGTCGCTTCCGCAGTTAGCGGAGTCTAGCTGGAATTCCTCAATTTCGTCGACGCCGTTGAGTTTTTCACTTTAATTGGAAAATAATTACTTAAACGCCGCGTGTAATGGATCCCCTCCCACGCGTTAACCTACATACGATTTCGTTCGCGGACGCGGCCGACTTGCGCGGAATAATCTGGAAATAAAGTTGAAACTCGAAGAATAGAACTGGGCTTAGTTTGTTCTGGATACGGAAAATTTTTAATCGAATTTGTTTTATTCCTTGGTATGCTTTTAACCCTTCGCATTCGAGAAATTCTGAGTCACCATTGATATAGCAAAATTATGAAGTCTCGTAGTATTAAGCTTTGTAGAATGTGTTAACATATGAAATATTGAAATGAAATGGCTTTATTCCTTAATTTTGTGTATACTTTCTTATTAGTTACTTCCAAAGAGAATGTCAAAGAATATCGTCTACATCTCATCGGGAAACTAAATATTTCTAGCGAAAAACTTTCGAGTAAGGATTAATATCTTCATTTTGTAAAGTTTTGCAGTCTATTAATGATAAAGATGAATGTAGTTTTGATAAATAAATTATAGGAAAAATGAGGAAGAAATTTTTGTCTGGAAGTTATCCAGGTATCGGAGATTGTAGGCCAGTATAAGAGGATGTAACGTACACCTCGCTGGGATTCGATTCTGGCGAGAGAATCTGCGAGAATTCCAGCCACGGTGGGCACGAAACAACGTAGAATCCGCAGGATCGTTCGACGTGCAATATTATATGTGTAGCCGTACACAATGAACTTCCTGCCGGCCACATCCTCTCACCTACAACGCGTGCCTCGTGACTTGCTACGGGTTCACCTCGAACTGCATCGATAATCGTGCGAAGTTTGAAATCGCCAGGGAAACACCGTGAGATCCAATGCGATTCGAGTCTCGTTTTGCGTCACGGCGAACGCGCGGACGTAGCAAACAATCGTACAGAAAGAATTGGGAAGAAGAGTTTGAAAACAACCGTAGGAAAATTACTAGCAATTAAAACCTCAAGCGGACAGAACGCGAAATTACATCGTGCCAGATAATCAGGACGGTTACGCGATACCATTATTAATGTCAGTAACCGGCAGATACGAAATCGCGTAATCAGGCAATTGTCGCTGGAATTGGGACTCGATTAACCCTTCGGGGATGAGCGTCCTACTAGTAGGCACATCGAGTTTACATATTTAAAATCGAAAACTGCAATCGAAGAATTTAATTCCGCGAACGATAATAGAAAACGTGGTTTCCTTATTTTGCAGTGTTTAAGAATCCGACGTCTGATTTAGTTTTATACAAAACCGGTTCGCAACGCTTCCAAGAATCCTGATTAACGAAGGGTTTTATTTCGAAGTTAATCGCGACGAGGGAAACGAAAAAGATGCGCAGAAAGGAAGAAGCGCAGATCCCAGAGACGAACGATGATTGATGGCGCCTCGTGATAGTTGATTGAATGAGCCACGAGGAAAACTTGATAATTCTGACACGATTGAAGGAAAAATTCGCGTTATCTCGGATTTCAGTAGAATCGGATCTATCCGGTGCCAGCGGAGTCGACGTGAATGAGATGTTTCCACGATGCGTTATTCAACGGGGAATCTCTCAATATTCCCCATACAGGTGAAGTTATCGCGGGAAGATCTTCGGCAGGGGGAAACCCTCCGCGTATTTTCGAAAATCGAGTTCCAACCGCGCGCTCGCAGGAGCGCGTCGAATGGGCACGCATACGGGCGGAGCCCACATCCATTAAAATTTCGAGGATTCGGGGGAATTTCGTTTTGAAAAGACGGGGGAAACGGGTGACGCTTCTCACGATGCGTTATAATACGGGGGCAGGATTAATTGGTGGATCGATCCGTCAGAATTTAAAGTGTCTTCATAACCGTCGAAGACAGACCGCCGAAGGCGGTCGCCGGAGCGCTCCGTTCGCAACGCGTCGAGGAAGTTTAACCGTCGAAACCGCAAACAAATCCTGGGAACCGGAGTTTCGGCGCCTTTACATGACGTCAGATCAATTAAAAGGCATGCACGTCGAGCGCACACGCGCACGCGGAGAATAAACGGGACAGCGGTGTACAGCGGGCGGCTGAAGTTCGTAACGAGTGGCAGCTGATGGCGGCTGTTTTTAATTTATCCCGCGGTCCCGTAGGTAATGAACGAAATTAATTGGCGACAGCGTGTGCCCGAACGGCCGGCCGACCGTTTAGACAGCCCCGACGAGATCCTCGTTCGTAAAAAGCCTTCCGAGAAACTAATGGCGACGCCGGCACGGCGTTCGTTAAACGTCGTCGAATCGCGGCACGTTGAAATTGGTAATCACTTATTAGTATAATCGCGTTCGCTCGGCCTCGAAGAGTCAGCGGACGATTGCGCAACGCTTCCAAGACGAAGAATCGCTTTTCCAGAGCCGCGCGGTGCGATCTCGGATGAAAAACGCTTCCTGTTCGCCTGACGGGCTAACGAATGCAAACGGACGCGCGCGACCTGGGTGATGTGTATCTTTTTAATTCGCCCCGTAACGCGAGAATAATTGGTACGGCTCGTCGGCGGACGCGAGATGTTTGCGGCCGACAGGACCCGTCGAGTCGCGTCGCGCTTTAAACGGCCAACGAGAGTGGCCGGGACACCGTTAAGGTGTTTGCCAAAGACAAACCTCTGACTTCAAAGGTAGATGTTCCATCCCAGTGGACACCGTCCGGTATATATTCAACACCGTGCGACCGTGGCTGATTCCAGACCGCACGGGCGAACCTGATACCCTTTGCCTTCAACTTGAACCACTGCTGCACCCGAATGCTTTGAGGGTGTCAAAGGATTCCGGGTTGAATTATTTTCGAGTAGACTTTACGTAGAATATACTAGAATATATATATATATTCCTTGGTTTGAAGGTGTAGGTGTTTCGGGCTGATAATGAATAGAGTTGCTATCTGCGAAGCGTAAGATGTTAGGTATAGATAAATATTTGAAGTTAGGTATAGAGAAACTTTGAATCTTTAAGGTGTGTCAATTTTTAAATGAAACATGGAAGCAACCTTTAGCAGATGGAGATAAATTATATATCAACCATTTACATAATAGAAAAGACAGAAACTACGTGCTCTTACTGTTTGAGTAATTAAATCATCCGTTCGCGATTTAGTCTTCGAAACATGAACATTTCGTCTCGAAATGCCGACATTCGTCCGCAAAGGGTTGAATGTGTACTGACGGATTTTCTACCCTTTGCTCTAAGAAATCGTTTTGCTAGAAGTTCCGCGCGTTCGGTGGGGGTTCGTTCATGTTTCCCTCGCAGAAGTCGGTAAACAATTTTCATGTAAGTACTTTATGTAACTGTTTCTCGGTGCAATCGGTGGACTGGCAATTAAAAAGTCGAAAGATTGATTGAAACTATCGGTGACGACGTGACTGGCATCTGGGCGCGATAAAGCGCGGAAACCTTGAGAAGGGGTGACGATAAAAATCCGCCGTTGCGTGCGTGGAATTGGAGGGAAGACAGAGGCCGGTCATTAGACCCAATCATGAGCGTCACGGCGAGCGCTAATGCGGCTGGGCGCAACAGTTGGCGAACGCTTTCGAGCGTGGCGAAGACGTTGAACATGACGGAAGGACGTGCGGAAGGACGAGCAGGTACACATTAGACGATTACCGTAGATAAAACTGTTCCTCGCCGGCCGATTTCCGTCTCGAGAACACCGAGCAACATCGGATTCCGTTTAGTGGGAACGGAAGCGGGATTCGAGTCGGCGCAATGAAACGGAGTGACTGTCCGAAATCGACTGACACTGTAATTTTCGTTTCTTCGGAAGTGTGGCTTAACGAAGATACCGTCGTATTATCGTCGAGATTGCCGGATGAAGATGGGCACTCGAGACGATTTGGATTTATAGTTTTCGACACTCGGAGCATTTCGTTGAAATATTAGAACTCTAGCTTTTAATATTAATCTTGAAGTATTAGTACTCTGGCTTATAATACTAACCCTAAAATCTTAGACTTTCCTAAATTCGTGGTACCCCGGGTTACGTTATAGTCACTCGGCTAAGGGAGTTACAGCTACGAACGGAAAAACCGAGAAAAATAGAGAAGTGCAACGCAGAATTATTTTCTAGTGGAGAACGTACCATTAGTGGGAAAACTGTGCTGCAGACAATTGCATTGTCGCAGGGGTACGTCGTTTCACATGGCGCGTGCAGAGTCAGCACGGTTTGATTAATCGGGTGCAAAGTTAAACGAGCATCGAGTGTTGGAAGGCAAGGAACACGCAACGAGATGCTGCCACAATGGAGAGCGGAGAAAGAAAGAAAAAAATTCATCGTAAAATTGATACATACAGGCTGCGAGGCGATAGTCGCGAAAACATTGCACCGTCTCCGCGGCTTTCGTTATCGGGGGAACTCGTCATTCGTCCATGGTCTCTGTTATCCCCGGGAAAACACACTGCAGCGTTGGCGTATAATTTCCTTCGTGTCAACGTACAGTTAGCTACTTCGTTACACCTTGATTCACCTTATTCGTTATTCGCGCGGAACCGAATTCGCTGGGTAAACGTCGACACTCCGGAAAGTAGAATTATCGAAACATTAACGAGAACCTGTAAATCAAATCTAACGGTTCTCAGAAGCGCGCGCGGACCTCGCGATTCCTCGCGAACGTTATTCGACCAGCGAAGCTGTTGGAAAAAAATGTGCTTCGAACGGGGGTAAACTGTTACGCGTAGCGCGCAAGGGGCCGCAGAAAATAAATTGAATCGCTTGCCAGCTTTAAAAGATAGTAAATTGTTTCGTCCGGTTCAATTGACACCCCTGGTGTACCTAGCCTGTCGCGAATGAATCGCCGAATAATCGCGGCGAATGCTTTTCTGGTATCGCTTCGGGATAACGCACTCGTTACACCGATCGCACCTGTACGTTACACGCTTCCGGTACACAGGTGCGCGTCCGGCTTTTAGCGGAACCGTAGGGAAATCGTTAGAACCTGGAAACAGGGGGGGAGGGCGAGAAGTTTCGAGGAGACGGGCTAGAGCCACGATCGAGGGTGGCGAACGATTCGGTAACGAGGGTGTGAAGCCATGCGTACCTGCATGGGAATTTCGGCAGTCGGCCAGTTTCTATGTACATCTAATTACACCGGAGGTCATGTTTATTCAGGAATGCAGCGACAGCTGTCCGTTTGTGAATTTAAATGAATGGGAAAGTCGCGCGGCGTGAATCGCGATCGACGCTGACACAGAAAACTGTTTTCCATTATTTTGTCTGCGATTAAGGTACCATGGAACTTAACGAAAGGAATTGAATACCAGTTGTGACGCTGGATCACCGATCGGCACTTAGCTCCTTGACTTTTCAGGAAAGTTCTAAAATATACGTCAGAAGAATCAAACTGACAAAACATACAAATTTCCTGCTACGTTCCCCACTCGAGGGAATTCGAAATTAATCGACCTTCGAATTGCTTTCAGAATCGAACGGACGACTCGAGCTCGGAAGGGGGTTGCGGAGTGCGATGCAAGGTCGAGCAGGTAAGACATCAAGACACGCTTACCTCTAACCCCTAACTGCGCGCGAAGATCCACAAACGCGGTTCCTCTTTCGAGGAGTTCCCCGCAGCGGCTCGCTTCCGGAAGCGAGTCTTAACCCTGCCGGTTAATTTATGCGACTGCACCGAAACACGGCGCAGAGGAGCGCAGAGCTCCGGTTCAATTGAAATTAAACTCGCCGGTCGAAGTGGAGCGCACTTCATCTAGTTTGGGAACCGGCGAACGATCGGCGAGAAGTGACTTCCGGGCGGATCGACTTGCAGATGGCTCTGTCCGGGTTAGTGACTTAGGACGGGGATAATTCTCGCGGCGCGGCGTAGCCGGCCGGGGCCGCAAATTTAAAGCAAGTTCGCCGGGGAGAGCATCGTCGAACGTTTATTAACGTACGCGATCGTCGGAGACGAAAATAAAGGGACGCCGGTCCCCTGGCACAATGAAAGTACTTCCGCTGCCGTCCCCGGGGCTCCCTGCTCGGTGGCTCGCTAGAGAGACGGTAAACGGCAAATAAAAACAAAGTCAGGTCCACCGTCTCCCTTTCCGTCGCACTCCGGCCGCCGTTCGCCCGTTCGCCGTCTCTCTTTTTTTGTTTTCGTTCGCCGGCATCCTCTCTCTTTCGTTATTGGAGCGTACGTAGGTACCCAATGAATGGATGAACGTGTATACGTATTACGCGTACGAATGAAAGAATGGCCGGGCTCGTACGGCTTCGTGACTTTAAATTGGATCGCGTACAAGTGCGGCCTATGGCGGATGTCGCCAAATTGCCGTGCGACTCCGGATTCGCTCTCTCCGTTTGCTCCTCTCTTTCCGCCCCTGTCGGCCTCTCTGTCTCGCCTTCGGATCCGTTCCGGAAGTCCGGACGGAAAACCGGGGAAATCAGCCGGTTCACAGGCTCGCAACACTGTGTGTCCGCGCGTGTACCGTTGACATTTATGGTCTTCCCGGTACAATGGGATTCTTGGTACCGAGCGTGACAATGGAATGCCGGTTTATTGACGCGGTTGTGGCGTTAGAGGTAACTGTGATGTTAATCGATGAAACAACGATTCGACACAAATTGAACGTCGGTTACATATTGATATATGAGTAGGGAGCACACTTGGCCGAACTGCGACTCTCTTTGGTCAAGGCGAGAAGATTCTACGGATTTTATTTCGAGTATTTCTTAAGAGTTCGAAATCATCGTCTGAAGCCATCATACTGTTAACGCAATCAACGATTTGCGGCCAAGGTACGAACACATACAGCAACTGCTACCAGTACAGGAGAACAATGTTCTTTAAGTACTTTTAATGTATACAAATGTATGTTTCGAAACAAATTATAAATGGAAATAAAGACAGTGAGATTTAAATATTCTATAATTAAAACATGTGTCTGCGAATTTCGAAATTCTGAGTGTAGGATTTGCGACTCTTGTCAGGATAAAGTATCTGACCAAGTATGCTATAGATGGTTGGCTGCTCTTTAGTAACTGTGCGAGGAGAAATTTTCGAGATTCGTTAATGTTTCGTTGTTCGTTTAGCTCGGCTTCTAATCAGGAAGCAACCGATTCGGTTGAAAACTAGTTGAACGTGGAAAGAAGTTAATTCGACGACAAGCTCCGTGGAAATTGACAGGGGAAGGCAATTAGGGTTGTGATTAGCAAAAAGTGGATCATCTTCCTCTTAAATTGTGTCGCTCGCCGGCTAACCGTTAGCCGCGCGCGATACTGGAACGTACGAACCGTGAAACGAGGTGAGGGAGGAAATCGCTTTAAGCGCAATTCACGTTGCCAGACCTGCTGGTATTCGAGGCTTTTCATCGGACACGCAACACTGCGCTATGGGACCGTGCTACACACGCTCGATGATGGTGAATATAACGATCGCTGCGTGCCAAAACTGGAGAAAGGGCTCGCGGCTTAATGGCCACGATCGCCTGTTTTTCGGAAGCACGCGATAATTAAGTGGCTCGGAGAGCATTGTGTCCTTTCTCGTCGCATTAATTGTGGGTCCGGTTTCCTACCCTGGAGACACGCGTTGCTGGATATCCTTCCGGCCACTGTAGGGGTCCTTTCTGCGTCTCGTCTCGTCCACTTTGCTTCCTCTCTTGAGGGCAATTTTCGGTGTTCGTTAAACGACGCTAACGACTGTTATGGCAATGCTTCTTTGTGGACAGGAGATTGAGGATATTTCTCTTTTTTAACGGAGGTTACAAGTCAACCCTTGTAATTCTAATTTTTAGAACTTGAAGATCCAAATGAAAAGGTAATTGTAGAGTTCAGCAGTTTATATTTGAAAACCACTGCAATACCATTTATCCACAGCTGTGGATACTAACTGATAATAATAAATAAAAATTCAAACATTAGTTTGAGTTTACTCGAAGGTTCCAAGTGTGCTCATCGAAAACTCATTCCAACGTCTGGCTAGCATTGTACGTTACAATACAACATTTAGTATGCCGCTCCTCCGAGCGCGCATCCATATTAATTTTCATATGATCGTACCTTCATCCGTTCGTCCGGCTGTGGTTCAGCTTGGACGGTACTTCCGCTAATTTCACGGCTCGATAGCGATGAACCGATACCTCTGGAATTCCTTTTGTACGAAATATCACGTGTCCGCGCGGCCGTTGGGCAACCACGACAGCGAAGCGTGCAGCGTCGAGGATCCATGGGAAAGCAATTGGTTTCGAAGTACAATTAGGAACGTCGTGAACGAGATCTCAAGTGCACCGTGTAGACGGTAGCTCCAAGTTCCGGCGAAAGTCCGCCAGACCGACTCCAGATCATCGAGTGTGTTTGTAAAGTGGCGGACCACCGAGGCCGAAAACATCCGTGAAAAATGTAGCTGCTTGACGTTTAGCTGGCAGTCGGTAGGTTCATGCGAACGAGACGTTCAAGACTCTCCGTCGCTTGTTTACCGATAAACAGAATTCAACGGACCCTCCCGAACCGGAAAATTAATGGACACAGTCTACGGTTTATGGGCTGTCCCTTCGAGACGTCCCATCTTTCTTACGCTCGTCGAGCAGCGGACCGCAATCAGTGAACGGGGTTAAAGCGAAACGAGGAGAGAACGGATAGATCCTCGTCCCGTGGTAGGATGAAGATCTACGATCTACGGGGAGCTGAGTAGAGCGAGGGCCTGGGCCGGGGCGTAATGTGTGTTGAGGTTTTAATGAGGAAGTGAGAAATTAGCGGGCGCAGCGCCGAGCCGTTCTGCTCCGGCCATTTTCCACCGTCTGATAGTTTTGTCAACCCCTATTACCGGGCTCGATCGTTCGAACGAGGCGAGGAACAAAAAAACAAAAGGGAACAAAAAGAAAGATGGACACCGTTCGACGAGGCGAATCGAGTTCGAACGATTACCGCGAGCGACGGTCTCGAGGCGGAATCGAAGCCACGGGGAAAAGGGTGGCGAGGAATTAATTGAAAATGAGGATTCAGCTTGATAAAGGCGAATTAATAATATGTCTGGTGGGAAGTAATTAATTGGGACGTTAAAAATTATCGTGCTCGCGTTAGGAGCTGATTTAACCGCACGTTCGACGATAATCCACATGAATTTCTCTCGGCTTTTTTTGCCTTTTGTTTGGGAATTGATAAGCCGGTGAATATTTTTAGAGCGCGGTTGAAGCACACTTTCTTCGAGGTGAATATTCTCGATCCGTTCCGTATTCGATACGTTCGGCGTCGATGTTTCCGCCTCGAATGCCGCGAACGTCGTCAATAATTGTCGCCTCGGCGACGCGTGCTCGTGGGTCGCTCTAAACGGTCGTCGTAAAACTGGACTGCCACCAAATGTTTATTAATAACGTTTATCTAGCGCCGGAGGTCCCTTTCCTTCTAGACTTTTAGCTGACCTATCTGATACCCTCGAATACCACCGTACGCCTGTATACATGCACCGCGAGCGTGTTGCTCGTGCGAGACAAGCGTAATCCGTCCTTTAAACGATCCTCTGATATTTGCTCGCAATCGTTTGCTATCTTGCTGCTCGGCGGGATGTATATTCGCAGTTAGTTCTTTAAAAAACCCTTGATCTCTAAGATACTTAGTCATTGGTAGTCGAATCAGGATAAACAATGCTTCAAATACTGTTACTAAACATTAGACTATGGAAATTTGACTTTCCAGAACACAGTCAAAACAGTGCAGCTGTAAATGTTCATGCAAATCTCTTATTGTTTATAATATATTGAATTTTTTATGATCGAAATAAGGTTCCGTTGAATATGGAACTTCGGAAATTTGCATTTAAAAGCTTGATCTTCCATAAATAGAATTTTTTAAAAACATTGAAAGTAGACAGGAGATATCGAAGTATCGTCAGCCATTGACCTTGTTTCGAAGATACAAAGATGGCGGCCGCAGGTGCACCGTTAACCCCTCGAATCAAGATTTCCGTGCTTATTACTCTAAAATGTCGAGAGCGGTATCATTTATATGCGGCGCCTCTCGAATGCAACGGAGTGTCGACCAACCCGACAATTGGTAAATGGCTCTCTTGCCTCTCGCAATACGTCGTTGAAATAGAGATTTTGCTGCGCGGGATGATGGCACAATGGCCGCGGCAAGGCCTTTCATGCTTCTCCGTCGAAAACCGTAACGCGCCAATTACACGTAAATTATAAGCTTGAAAGGAGATCGGTGCCAAGATACGGAATACAAATAGAACGTTAAGGGAGGTACTTGAAGAGGAAGAACGACTCGCAGCTGACGACGTTCGCAACGCTCGGCTCCAAGAGCTGTTGCTCGGTCTTCCTGAAGTCCTTGAAGTCTTGGAGCATGCCAAATCACTTTCGTGTATTTACATTTCGCGTCGCCAGCGAACACGACTTTCTTTCAAGATGTTCTCAAGAAGCACAGCTACCGGATCTCTCTGTTTATCTCGGGAACATATGAACATCCCCGATGCCACTGAAATTATATTACCAATTTCAATTTCGTCTGCTTCAGTAACCGCGTGCATTGTTAACGGGAATCGTTATAGAACGTATTAACCCTTTGTTTTATAACTTTCTTCTCGTTAAGGTAACAAGAGTTAACGATCTCCCAACAGAGGAAAATAATGCATTTTCCAATCGAATAAAAATATTACAAAAATGATCTCATTAATTCTATTCGATTCTATTCGCATGCGTGTTCTCTAGTAAGCGAAATTATACGGCGACGCAACGTTTGTAACGATAACGCGTTTATCGGCCGGAAAAAAATAGCAGCGAACTCCAAAGTCAGCGTCAGCGTTGCACGATACGTATTTGCAGTTGAGTAGGAAAAAGTGTTCCATGTGTCGCAAATAAACGCGATCCCATCGCGGAATGAAAAACACGAGCGCGCGTTCGCGTTCTCGGCCAATTCGTTTCTTTCGTATGCCGTTCTGGCTTGTTGTCGCCGACAAATGCCCACATCCTCCCTTGCAGAAAGTTAATGCGTTAAACTTCGGTTCGCAAATCCATGCTCGGCACGAACCAGCCGGCCGTCTTATGAACGTGGGCGTTACTTGAGGGCACGTGCCACATGTTCTTGTCGATCTTCCGAGCGCAACTTCGCCACGCAGACGTTCCAGTTACTTCAATGCCAAAACGATGCGGCGTACGTCCTTTCGTATCGCCACTCGCCACTGATGCCGCAATTGATTCACTCGATCCGCCATGCACGCAACTCGCGGCTTAATAAATTGTCGATCGTCAACAAACGGGGTCGAGAGTATTCGTATACGATACGCGGCGGTTAGATCGTTAAAAGCGTTTTCAAAACGAATAATGTAATCTGATCTGGGTTCGTTATTAACACTTAGGCGACCGCCTAAAAAGAACTACAACTACGACCTCCTCCATTACTTTCAATTGAACTCATTCAATTAATTCGGTTAGAAACTGTTTTGTAAAAAGAAGAACCGCATCTGATGAATTGCAAATAATCCTACTTCACTTACGAAGTAATAAAGAAAAGATAACCAGAATAAAAGATAATACGTTGTTAAGTGAAAAGTGAGAGATCTCCACATTCGGTTGGCTGAGTGTTAACAATTGAGCAGCGAAATATTAAAAGAAAATGATAATATATTAAGAAAAACGATCCTCAGAAATGGTCTTTTCTCATCTGTTCCAGTGCACAAAAGGCTGCGGAGCATGGGAACGAGCCCTCGACACGAGCTGCCAAGCCGTTTGCGTTAGTACACCTCGCTAAATAATTACTCCGAACGTTGCATTGTATTTTATAATTCTCCTATAAATACAACATCAACACGATTGTTTGCAGAACGGAACGCAAGAGCTACTGCCGCCCAAGGAACTCTACTGTGTCCTGGGCTGCCACGACGCGTTGAATCGATACTTCCAACAGTTAAAAGGTACCCGTTACTCGCAAAGTTGAACATTATCTCCTAAGTATTTTACAATAGAATAGTTACTCCTCGCGACACCGGGTGTGAAGCTACTTCTAGGTTCTACTCTTCGTTACGTTCAAGATCGCTTAAAAGTTCGCGAAGTCTTTAGCGAAGCGATCAACGGTATCAACGGTTAGAGGTTCCTCCGTGTATTCATCGAAATTGCTGGTATCCTCCGGCGACGGACACTTCGGGATGAAACTCGGTTGAATCTTCTGATGGTAAATCAGGTCCCAGTCCGTCGACTGGAACCACCTGTGAGCCTTGATGTCCAGGGTGCCGTTCTTCAGGTTCCCGTACCGTCTGGTCAGGTCCACCTGCAGTATGTTCTTCAAGATGTCCCGCAGCTCCTCTCCAAAGTGATGAGCGAACTTGTATTTCCCCGACACGATTTTCTCGTAAATCTTCATCGGATCGCCGGAATAGAACGGCGGGTAGCCGGCGTTCATCTCGTAGATGAGGACGCCGAAGCTCCACCAGTCGACCGACTTCCCGTAGCCTTTAGAGAGGATCACTTCCGGCGCGAGGTATTCCGGCGTGCCGCACAGTGTCCAGGTTCTTCCGTCGATCATCTTGCAGAATCCGAAATCGGTCATTCGAATGTAACCAGTACTGTGTATCAAAATGTTCTCTGGCTTCAGGTCTCGATACACTAGACTACAGTGGTGCAGGTACTCCAGCGCGAGCAGAACCTGCGCCGCGTAAAATCGCGATAGAGACTCGTCGAACTTCCCCATGCGTCTCAGGTGCGTGAACATCTCGCCCCCGTTTATGTACGGCAACACCATGTACACGTACGAGTTGTCCTTGAAGCAGAACTCCATGTAGACGACGAAAGGGAACCTCACGCACTGAAGTATCCTCTTCTCGTTGTACGTGTGGCTCACCTGCTTCATCTTCACGACTTTAGCTTTATCCAAGACCTTCATCGCGTAATGAACCGAGGTCGGTTTGTACTTGACCAGCAGGACACGTCCGAACGCACCGGTCCCGATCGTCCGGAACTGCTCGAAGTCGTCCAGGCTGACGTTGTCGGTTTTGTTAACCTTCCATTTCTCCAAGAACGCCGTTTTCATCTCGTCCAGTATGTCCTGGTACTCTCTGAACGCTCGCGCGCGCTCCGGATTCATGATCACCGCGTATTTGTCGTGCAAACGGGTGTTCGGCCTCTTCTTCTTGTTCTCGTCCTTCAACTTCTTCTTCGAGGTTGTGCCTTTCGTCTGGTGATTCCTCGTGCGTGCGTGCTTCATTTAACTCGACTGTCGACGAAACGCTTCCACGAGCGAGATACAACTCACCTGTATCGATACTCGTCGAACGAAGTATGTCATAGGATCGGCAACGCGATTCTTTTTTGTTGCTTTCGCGAACACGTCTGGCTGGCTTGTAATAACCTAGAAGGTTATCGACGATTTGGGTAGTTTGAATCGGAATTCACGTCGATGTTCGTTATCAGCGGAAATTGGCATTCCTCCGGCGCCAGCGTTGGTTGCCGATTCCTTGACTGCCACTTCCCTGCGCCTCGAGTGGAAAGGAATAGACATCGAAAGACGCGGCGGCGGCATCTCGTACTTGGTGCAATGGAGGTACGAAGAACTGGCTGAGACATGGCAGTACTGCAGGAACCAATCTTGGGGCGAGGACGATCAGATTCTTGTGGAGAATTTGCAACCGTACACGAAATACAGGGTAAGTACATCGATGATCTTCAATGAGATCGTGATTTCAAGTGGCGCTCGCTTAATCGCGTCTTATATCCATCTGATCTTAGAACGAGCAAGTAGTAAAATAAATAAACTGGAGATAAACCCTTGTTCAATGATGAGATACTCGAGAGTCTTTCCTAATGATCTTTTTCCACCTTCCAATTCATAGCAGAGTGAGCTGGAAGATAGAGTTTATAGAGAATCTGAGAGATTGTAGAATCTATAGAGTCTCTTTTTGAGAGGAAATTACTTTGAATCGTAGTGAAGTGTCTTGCGAAAGTCGAATAATCTAAACGAAGATCGCAATGTTAATGTAATGGTTATAAAAGAATGAAAGTGTTTGCAAGGTATGAGTCTAAATGATGAATCGTTGGGATTAATTTTCAGTTTCGCGTAGCGTTGCTCTTGAAATCGTCACAGCACAATCCCGAGCCGATCGTCTCCGCTCCGAGCGTCGTGATACGAACGCTGGCAGCTGGTTTCCCGACCTCAGCACCGGTAATTGTAAGAGCGGCGGTGGTAGACAGCTGCCGCGTCTCTGTGTCTTGGGAACCGGGCCCTTTTCCGAATGGGCCACTTTTGTCTTATGTCCTGCGTCTGCAAGGGGCTGACCACTCCCAGCTTAAGGTACACGCCACGCCAGAACTTCAATATACGAAGTGATATAATTACTGTCTTCGTGTTCTCGAGTCGCATAATTCTTATAAGCCGTAACGTTTCAATGTTTCGATTACTGTTCTATCCAAGCTAATTGTCACTAGCAATGTCTATCGACACGTTCGTCGACGTACAGCTGTTTCCGCTTTCCTGTTTTCTTCTCTAACTTCTATACGAAACAGCACTGTGAAGCATCAACTGGTTCTGCAAGATTACTATCCTCCCCGAGAAGGGATGTTATTGTAGGTGGAACGCGAAAGATCCAAGCATGAAGCGAATGAACACTTCGATTATTAGACTGCGGATCTTCATGCAAAGGAATATTTCGTGAATGTGAAATAAAATGAGAATTTCGAATTTAATCGTTGCTTTACGTTTTACCTTACCTTTTCGATACAATTGCATAAACATCTGCAATCTACTTGTTACTATCGCTAAATAAATACTTTTCGAAGTGTACATTTGTTCGTATATCAATTCAAAGGTACATAGCTAACAGTTTACATAGTTATCTAATTCTTCGGGCTCGTATGAAATGCTTAATAATCAGTCTCACGCTAACACTAATCTTCTAGAAGCTCTCGCTCTAAGGAATGCTCGTTGCTTTGTGTAATCCCATTATCGCAGATCTCTGTTGCAATCTATGACTCCGTCACTAGCTTTCTTACTTGCAAGAACCAGATCTTCCACAGCATACGTTTCTGGCATGGCGTATTTTTCCCTTCTTGCATACTGATATCCTAGCAATGGAATCGAAAGGGATCGATACGTGGACAGTCTCTTTAATCTGCTTTACAATCGGTTCCACAGGATATACCCGCGTCCGAGAATACGGATCATTATATGTTCCAAAATCTCGAGCCCAACAAGAACTATTCCATCAGCGTCACTATGAGGAACGGGGTTGGCGAGGGTCCGCCCGCCGTCATCTACATCACGACCACTCCAGAGCCAGCTGGTGCGTTCTCAAAGTTTCTTTATTACTTATACAAAATTTCCCCCTTAACTTCGCATTTTTGTGATGCCTTTAATATCTCTTTTCTATCTTCATTCGTAACGTTACTCTGTAGTCCTTTACAGAAATAGCGATAAGCGTCAATCAAGGAGAGCTCACTGAACTTCCCAAGTATCACAAACTTGCGAATGTAATGCTGTATTCAATAATAAATAACAATTTTCATAACGATTCAGTGAAAGACACGCAGCAGCCTATACTGATCCTCGGCGGGCAGCACGTAGTCATGAAACAAGACGCCGACATGCTGGACGATCCCAGTGTGGTTTACGAGAACACGAGCACCATCCGCGGAGTCGCGATTCACGTAGCGTCCGCGCAGTTGTTCGTCTCTGACTCGGTGGGATACGTGTACAGAACGTCCATCGTGAGACGCACTAAGCCCACGGTGATACTCAGCCCCAGCCAAGCGAACTTCAAACCCTTGAGTCTGTCCGTGGACTGGTTGAATCTTCACCTGTACATCTTGGGCGAGGTGAAGCACGCGACGACGGTTTGGCAGATAGCCAGATGCAATCTGGACGGAAGGGGATTGACGGTCGCAGTGGCTGGATTCTTGACGAGGCCGACGCACATCGAAGTCGATCCCTACAATGGATACCTGTTTTGGGTCACCAGGGGTGGTTTGTATAGACTGGATCTGGCTGACATAAGCAATGGAGTTAAGCACGAAGTACGTTCACATTGTTGTACTACGAATGTAGTAATCCTAAGAATACAGAGCGTCTACTATCTCTCTGATTGATTCTAGGTGCAACCCTACTTAATCCTAGAGGACGCACACTTGGGTGCCTTCACAGTGGACCACACGAACTTTCGCTTGCTGGTCCCACACCACATCCAGAACACGGTGATATCTGTATCCCTGGACGGTCGCGAGGTGTTAGACCTGCGAGCGAACACCCAGCAACCAAGGTTCAAGAACGTCGTCTCCCTGGCGATGGCGAACGGCTTGTTTTACTGGACGAACGGGGAGGAAGTGCTGATAGAGGGCTATCACTCGGGGCAGAACAGATACTTTCACAATGCTTATCCCGATAGGTGGCTATCATCGAGTGACATCATTAGGACGTTGCATCGTAGACGGCGTCTGATGTCTTAATAATCGCATCGGTTTCAGGTCGAACGGTTCATTCGTCAGTGTCAATGTACTTATGGACGCTAGCCAGCCTGTTCCTGTCCCGGTGAACCCTCCTACGGGCGTGCAGGCAGTTTTGGGGGTGGAAAGGGCGAAAGTTTCTTGGCAGGCGCCCCATCTGCTGGGCGGCCAGGGTAAAGGCGCCTGGCAGAACTGGTCGTACGAGCTTGAGATCAAAGACGAGTCTACCGGCGAGACGATCCATCAGAAAGACATCGCTGGCTCGTCTCACACTGTGCACAATCTTCGCGAGAAGTCGGAATACTCCATCAAGGCTGCTGCTTACACGAGTGCTGGCAGAGGACCGTGGTCCACCGAATTCAGGGGTCGGACTTTACGGTATGTTATAATTAGTAAATGATCGTAGTCACTTGTAATAAGTATTTTATCATTGGTGTCTTCAACGGTTCCATTTTCTATCCAGGGACGGTTCACACGCGTCCATTCTCTGGTCCGCGAACGAAGGTCTGCTGAGAAGCGACGTGACCGGCGAGAACATCGATACTTTAATATACAAAGCGAGCTTAAAAGAAGCAGAGAACGACTACCATATTGTTGATGTGAGTTGGTACAAGGATGTACTCTACATCGTGGGGAATAATTCTGCACTGTATCGGTATAATATTACTAGCCATCAGAAGACGAAGATGAACATCCATTCGGTCGGAAGCGTCGCCGTTGACTGGATATCAAAGAAGCTTTATTGGGCTAACCCGAAACAACAGATTGTAAATAACATGAGTAACAAGTTCTAACGGTCTTAGTTTCGTTTAGATAGTAGAGCTTTAACCATCATATGCTTCTAGATAACAAGAGCCAACTTGAATGGATCGCATCAAGAGCCAATGTCGATCCTAGCTATCGTTAAAGAATTAATGATCGATTCGCTGGAAGCGTATTTGTACTGGTCTACGGGACACGCTGTGGAAGTTGCACGTCTGAACGGTCAAGACAGAAGATATTACCATTCCGATGAGATATTTAATGGCAAACAAGTGATGGGTTTGACGTTGGACACAGAGAATAGATACGTTTACTGGATCGTCCGAAGCTACGAAAGTGGATCGATCGTCTATCGGGCGCCTACGTCTGAGAGGATTCCTATGAGCCACAAAATAGTGCCTGAAAAGGTTCTTATCGTCACCTGATGTTACCAATTAAAATAGTGCATTAATACGAGACTTTGCTAAGCGTCAATTTAAAATACTTCTGTCGTCAGGTCTCAGCTTTACAGCACCCCAACATGCAAGGCCCGTTATGTTACTTCTCGGAACACCTGCTGTGGCTGCAAGACGATCGCAATGCAGTGATAGGCGACCTGTCTGGTCAAAACACCGCCGTGATAAATGGTATCACTCTGTCCGGCCTGCACATGGTGGCCGTGATGGATCCTGCGCTTCATCAATATCCGAACAATCTTCTGTCGGACACGGTGGTTGTGCTGCCCAACGCAGTCAGCAATGATAGCATTAGGGTAGAAGGAACTTGGCGGAATTTCAATATATCCTGGGACCCCGTGGAGAACATCAATTACGGGACCGTGTTTTACGAAGTGAAGTTCACGGACTACATCAACACCAATTCGAATCCCGAGATTACCACGGAGACCTCGATGCCGTATAACAATTCGGAGCAAATTCTGCCTTACTCTGTTCTAGAAGTGACCGTGAAAGCGTTCACCTATTGGGAATCGGCGCATCACACGAGGAGGACATTGCGATCACCGCAAAGCGTGCCTAGTCAACCAACGAATCCTAGGGTGTTCATTGAGTTTCATAAAGAACCCCTTAGCGAGAGCGTTGATATATTCGCGATATTCAGGTGAGCACTCGGTTCTTTGTTAAAATAAACCTTGAAAACTGTGTCTGCTAATTATATCATTGTAGGCTCTAGAATCTTCATAAGTCCCAAACGTTAGACCTAACGTACCTGATTGAAAGGGATAATTGTTCTTTTTACGTTACAGATGGAACGAACCACAGTTCTCGAACGGTCTGATCACAGGATACACCGTGCAATGTTGGAATCTCCTAGAAGAGCAAATCCGCTGCGAGTCGCTTTTCGTTGATGAACTGGAGCACACCGTGCACGGTCTGCTACCGGACACAACGTACTACTTCCAAGTGCGAGCTCACACGAAAATCGGTCCCGGACCGTACACCGATGTCATCAATGTGTCAACGATACACGAGAATCCGGTTCCGCAGCTGTTGGTTGCTACCATGGACGCGGTGAGGATCTCCGATCTGGATCAAGAGAAGAATGACACCCTCAGTCGGCACAAAGCAATCGACGTTGCGTATCTGGCGGCGGATAGCAAGATTTATTGGATAAACGAGATGGAGGAACTGGTCACAGCCGATATGGACGGTACAAATGCAACCAAGATTCTGACGTTGTACCAGAACGCCTTGAGTTTGACTATCGACTGGGTAGCGAGGAATCTGTATTGGTCCGAGTCGGAAAACGGAGATCGGATCGTCAAGTTCGACTTGACCACTTGGAAAGCGGGGATCCTCAAGTTCGAGGTGATTGTCACGGCGAGCAGACGTATCATCAATCTCGATGTACTGCCATCCACAGGGTAATTATAGATTTTTCAATTATTCCACGCGAATTCGTTATGAATGTAATAACTATTTGTGTATACCTATCACTATAGATCGTTATACTGGATAGAGCTGACGAAAAACGACAGAGGAGTGATAATGCAATCGGATTTAAATGGCAATGGCGTTCAACCCTTTTTTAATCACAAAGATAACTGCTCGTGTCCGTATAGACCTCCCGTGATCCCCGTGATGACGATAGATAGTACTTCGTATCAAAAGCCAGTTATGTATTGGATCTCTTTGGACGGACACTTGATCATCGCTGACATCAACGGCTGCATGTGTAGTATGATAGTAAGCGCAGACTTCAGCGAAGGATCGCCACCGACATCTCTGACAGTGGATAAAAAGAACATATACTGGTCGAACTACGAAGAAGGCCAGATTTATTATATAAACAAGGAATCCACCGACAGTGGAGAGATCTTACACTATTACCTGCCAGCTGTTAGAAGCATCAAGGCTCTGGGGAAATCCTTACAACCGTATCCAACCACAAACTGTCTGATTCCCCGCCAGGCGTCCTACGTCGTGAAAGTGATCAAAAAAACAGGAAACACTATCACTGTGAGACTTCCCCAGCCTGTTCCTCATTTTGGTTGTGAGAAATACAATTTACCGACAACTTTGTACACAATATACGCGTCTCAATGCTTAGAGAACGACCCCACCAAGTGCGAGAATGTCAATAAGACTCGGCTGCTAACTTACGAGAAGGAGGACAGGATCAAGCATCTCAAGCCTTTCACTAAATACAGGCTGACTTTAGCGTTGAGTAACTATTATTCTAATTTGAAGTCGATGAACTTGGAATTTGGCCCCGGTGTCATCGAAAGGACTGGAGCTGGTAACCCTACAGCTCCGGAAAATGTAACAACGCAAGCCTTGACACCGACTTTGGCCGTAGTTTATTGGATGCCGCCGAAGGTGCTGAACGCTGAGGCGGTTCGGTACGAGGTGCACTGGAGATTGGTCCGATTGATAAATGGGGCACGGCAGAAAGGAGAGCAGCTGATAAAGAGTAACGAGAGTACGGCCGACGGTAGATACTTCACCATGCTAGAACCATGGTTACCGGGACAGGAATATTTAGTGTTCGTCCGCGCGTATCCTGTGGACTTGGGCTTAAGTCCCGACGTCTACAGCGAAAGTCCTCGCCAAGTGGTGAAAATGTACCCGGAGCCTAACAACCTGACGTTGATCGGTGTCAGCGTGAACAGCATGAACGTGTCGTGGTCGCCCACCGTCAACTTGACGATCAAATACACTTTAGAATACAAAGACGTCGCCGTAGAACAATGGCAAATCGCGAACGACTCTAAAGTGGATAAAGACAAGGTGGTCTATTTCATTGACAAGCTGCAACCGCGCACTTTGTACAAGTTCCGTCTGCTCCTGAGGTACCCGAGCTACAAGAAAGATTTCGTATGGCCGACGGATGGGAAGTTCACGTTCCAAACATTGGGTATGTTCGTGTTATGATCTTTTTATTTCGATCGTTGCAATTTTCGTCATTGTTGTGTTTTTGTCGTTTGCTGTTCAGGTGACGTGCCGAGTGCCCCTGGTATGCCTACGGCAACAAAACTCCGGAATTCCATTTATCAGTTGAACTGGGAGCCCGCGCAAGCTCACGGCTCCCAGATTACAGTGTACCGCGTCGAGGGTATGAGAGTAAACGAAATAAACGAACAAATCGACTCGAACGAGAACGCCAGCTGGAAGCTCTACTACAATGGGACGGACAATTACTGGATAATTACGGGCGATATGGACGACAAATACCGGTTTCGAGTTCAGGCCAGAAACGCGTACGGATTCGGTGCATGGAGCAGATCCAGCCCGATCATTGATTTGACAGAAACCACTGGCGGGATACTGGCCGCCCAACAACATTTGGGACTGGTATTAGGACTGAGCGTCCCGGTTATTACCATAATTCTGATTTGCTTCTGTTATTTCCTTTGCCGTAAGTATATGATTATAAAAGGAAAACGTTGTTTGCTGCGTGGCGCGTTTGATAAATTCACGCACGAGAATTGTAAGCTGAGACGAAAATAAATTTTGTAATTCAGCAGTGTATAGGCAACACAAGGAAGACAAGAAAGCTGTCTTACCTCCTTTAGTGAGCGACGTAGAGCTGGCAACCCTTCGAGAAATACCCCGCGGAAATTTTGTCCAATCTAACTCACTTTACGCGTCCACGCTGCAAAACGATCCCGATGACTCTACCCTGCCTAAAATCAGGAGAGAGCAAATCACGTTAGCGAAGTTCTTGGGGAGTGGAGCATTCGGGGAAGTAAGTCAAACAGGAGTTTGATGAACTAGTTTAAAAAATAATTGAAGTGGGTTTTATTAATATTATCGACGCTCTTCTAGGTGTTTCAAGGTAATGCGAAGGACTTAGAGAGACCGGGAATCACCCCGGTCGCGATCAAGACGCTCCGAAAGGGCGCATCGGCACAAGAGAAAACAGAATTCCTTCAAGAGGCGAGACTGATGAGCCATTTTCGACATAAACACGTACTCCGGTTGCTCGGAGTATGCCTAGACACAGACCCACCGCTATTAGTATTAGAGCTGATGGAAGCCGGAGATTTATTGAGTTATTTAAGAGCGAGTCGATCGTTACAGCCTACAGATCCACACGCTTTGCGTCTACAAGATTTATTGGCTATGTGTGAAGATGTAGCAAGAGGATGTCGTTATCTGGAGGAACTCCATTTTGTACATAGAGATCTTGCATGCAGAAACTGTTTGGTGTCTGCTAGGGATAGGGAAAACCGAGTAGTTAAAATTGGTGATTTTGGGCTTGCAAGAGATATTTATAAGAACGATTATTATAGAAAAGTATGTGTATGGTTATAACTAGGATTTAATGAAAATTCTATTGTGATACTTCAACTGATTTTAAATATAATTTTAGGAAGGGGAAGGACTGCTACCTGTTCGTTGGATGGCCCCTGAATCTTTAGTAGATGGTGTATTCACTTCTCAGAGTGATGTATGGGCATTTGGTGTATTAATGTGGGAAATTACATCTTTGGGGCAACAACCATACCCTGCCAGAACAAACCTTGAAGTGTTGCATCATGTGCGTGCAGGTGGTAGATTGCCTAAACCTTTGAACTGCCCACCTGCTTTGCATCAGTTGATGTTACGTTGTTGGAGTGCTGCTGATGCTAGACCAAGTTTTAAAGTTTGCCTTGAGAATATAGTTAGCCATCGAAGTACTATAGAGGATGCACCATTGACCCCTGTACATGCTGGTCATTACTTAGCTAGAAGAGGTAAGTGTAGATTGTATACTGATATGTGCATTAAATGAACTTATTAGCATGAGATGTGAATCTTTCAAAATACGAACATGTTTTGCAAATAAGTTATGCATTTGAGTTCTCACATATATGTGTAAATCATGTATCTTCAATGAAATTCAATATCTAAATTTTGCCAGTTACTATTAGCTGCTTCATCATCCAATAGTACAGCTGTAGCCATAAATATCTATATTTAAATTTCAATCTATTTATGAAATACTATTTGTTTTCATACATCATGAGATAAGCATGTGATTAGTCCATCATGATGCGCCATCATAAAAATGTGTTTAATATACAAATTTAACAATTTGCTTGAATACATATTTATCATTGCATGGCTCATGCTTGCAGGCGTGTCTAACATGGCTTACTTTGCTGACGAGAATCAAAATCATAATAACTCAGGTAGGTTTTCTGTAGAGTTCATTTATCTACGCTGCTTTGTCTCTGTCAATTTCATTGTATTTCATAAATAACAATATCCTTTATGTAAAAATATAAATAATATATTCAATAATTTCATTAGGGAATTCATGGAAATCCAGTAGTTCAGAAGGTAGTCGAGATATGCAGCCATTCCTTCAAAATTCCAATAATGCAACACAATCGAGTGAAATACCAAAATACCTGGAACTGCTAGCAGATAATGAAGATATTATTTTAAGAGATAATTCAACAAGTGGATACGAAGTGCCTCGATCAATTCATATTTCTGATCAAAATTTGGGTAATGTAAATAAAGCTAGTGCAAATGTAGATTTAAAAGATAATTTGCATTCTGATACTTTACAAGAACAGAAAGATGCTCTGACTGACAATAAAGAACATTTATCAAAGAAGTGTGATAAGAGGTCTTCAGTATCGAGTTTAAATTTATCAGAACGTAAAAGAGCATCAGTTACAAGTATGACTGAAAAATGTAATACTTTAGATAGTTCAAAATTAACTAATCCTACTATTAAAGCGATTTTGAAGAGAGACTCTTTTACCTCTTTAACTGATCATAGAAGAAATAAAAGAAATACGACTGAACGGCGAGGATCAGAAATAAGTTTAGAAGGCAGAAGTTCCAGTTCACTCAGTTCAAATATTAGTTTAGCACCACCTACGCGACCCAGCTCATCGTTAATTAGTTCACAAAATGTTCTTCCATTGAAAAACAGTGTTATGGCTGGTACTGGAGAATCTGGAATAATTGACAATAGCATCACAAAAAGTACATTGCCAAAAATTCAAAGGACTCATTCTAATTTACAGAACGGTAAAGCCAATATTCCGTTGGTGATAAATAGTACATTATTAAATTTATTAAGGCAAACTCCGGTTGAAGATAGTAACAATATTGTTACATATACAAATATCAATACAGATGCTGTTAGAGTAAATGGATCGTGAAGCTCTTTTATTATTGAAACATAAAAAGGCTGGTTTATTTCAACTGTCATATCTTTAGCTGTATGAAAATTGAAAACATGTGTGAAGTTCCATAGCTTTAAACTGCCATAATAATGTGTGTACATATTTAAATTTTAATACTTATAGCATATTTTATGTAAGTCATGGCAGAAAACGTTTTACTATAGTTATTAATTAATAATCGTGGACTTGTTTATCATCTAAAGAACAAAAATAGCTATAGAGTATTATACGGGGATTAAAGTAATCCGACATAATTTTATACTTGTTATTGAAAATAATGTATTTATTTAATTACCTAAAAATACGATTAAAGTTTCACTATTCATTGTACAAATATCATATTTGGTGATAATATAAGCTATAACACGGAAATTAATATTCATGTTATATAAGGATTTGTTAAGTTTTATATGTAAATTTAAAAATACTTATCAAGATAGTACAATTAAGAATAAAAGTTTTCGATTATGCTAAACTTTGTATGAATGGACTGATAATGTTTGCAATTGATACTTTCAAGCTTGAACAAGTTTGAAAGGTATTGTATATATTTTATTAATACGAAATTGATATTTTTTTAACTACATTCGTAATGTGTTTTCCACAAAAGTATTAAACTGATATTATAAGTATCAAATCCAGAGAATTAATAGACGAAATGTAGTAGTTACGATAATAGTACACCTGAATACGTACTTTTTAAAAATATTTTCACAATATTGTGTCACAAGGGAACAAAAATGTCTAATAAATTTTTTATACATTTGAAAGGTATATGTCAATGAATGACGTCCGATATTAAACTAAACAATAAGATAGATTAATATTTTATAGTCTTCCTATTTAAAGCTACTTTGGTATACACTCTACATATCGTTAGTTCCTTGTAAACCATAAGCTAAACTTTGTAAATATCCTTCACTGTTATGTTAAGAGATTTATTGCTAAGATAGTGATAACTGTATGAATTTTGTATATTTGATATGTGCAAGTTAATATAATCATGCAAATATCACCTCACATAAACTTACATACAACATGTAACATTTATCACCCAAGTTTGGAGTAAGTAAAATTTCAGATGTAAATAAATAAACTACAGTGTATTTCAAAAGATGTTTATTACAATCAATTTTGTCACTAATGTCCACATATGTCAAATTTTGAACAATAAGATTTTGTTCTGCAGTAATCTGAACTTGCTGTATAGTATATTGTGGTTAATGCTCTATTTGAGGGTTGCAATCGTTTCTCCTATTATATAATTTAAAAGATATTATGGGAGAAATTTATAATCTACCCTAAGAGGTAACATTAATACTTAATGTATTTAAAATATTAATATTGTAATTTTTTTTAATATATTTTACAAGAAATAGATCCTAAAACAAAAAATACAATGTACATTTTAACTTTTTAAACAATCGGTATTGTTAGTGAATATTATAAGCTACAAAGTGCATTACCTATGCAGTACTAATTGTGGTAGTAATATTAGTAGTAGATGTAACAGCTGTATTGAGGGGGACATCATCGTCTAAAGAATCATCTTTGCTGTGTTCATGTAACAAGACGTATTCTCTAGAGCTAAATCCGAAACGTAATACATCTCTCTCTAATAGTTCGTGATACCTCCTTGGTTCTAATTTTACATTATTTACAAATGTACCATTCGCGGATTCTAAATCTATGAGATATGGGCGAATTCTTCTCCCTTCACCACCTCCCTCTTTTTGGAAAGATACCAAACGATATTGCAAAACAGCATGTTGTTTTGAACATGATGGATGATCTAAAGGAATATCTGCAATTTTACGATCTCTACCCATAAGATATGCTGATTGTCTGTGAACATACAATGTAGGTAATGCTTTTTCTCCCTTGAAGGGATATAGCCTCCATCTCCGTTTAGGTTTTCTAGCATCTGCAGGTTCAGAATATTTAATGACTACACCATTTACAGTATTTGTATCTTCAGTGAGTTTACCCGACAATTCGAAGTTTGGTTTATCTTTTTCTTGAGGCTTTGGTTTTGATTCTGTTTTTATTGTGGGTTTACCCCATTCCGGTGAAGGTTCTTTCTTCATTTTTGCTTCCTCAAAATTACTTTTTCTTTCTCTGTTTGTATCGTCATGTCTCTTGTTATACTCGTTTGTCTCTCTGTATTTTCTACCTTTATCTTCAAAATCTCTGTGCCTCATGCGAGGTTCTTCCCTCCTCATAGGCGACCTTTCATACCTTCTCTTACCATTTTGTCGTTCATCGTCTCTCCTTGGATGATCATGTCGACTATCCCTATATTCCCTATCCCGTTCACGTTGTGATCTATCACGATGCATATCATTATTGTCTCTTCTTACTTCTCTGCTAAATTTGTGAACGTCCCTACCTTCTCTGGTATCTCTATAATTTTTATTCTTGCTGGTCGATTCCTTTCTGCCTGTTCGTCTATCTTGGTTAGGGCTCTCGTCGCGTCTGTGTTTATGTCTTTTCCGTGACTTTTCGTGACGACTATCGTCACTACTTTCAGAACTGCTGCTAGACATTTTTTATACTTTCATCGATAAATGCCACAGAAAATTCAGTGAAATTACACTTTTAACATCGTGATGCGACGTGATGCTTGTGTACCCTAACCTATACTAATAACAAAATAGCTTATTTTAAAGCCAAACATAAAATAACCAAGATTTATAATCGTAAAGAAAGAGATAAGATATATATTCAATGCTTACGTAATTTTATTCGTTATCAAAGTGGTTATTAATACTTCTAATTATCTTCCAAACATCAAACACTTCACTTCTACGCGTCATACAAAACACGAATACTGAATTGGAGGCAACAGAAGACATGTATGCAACTCTTTAATTAAATATGGAGGTGTATACATATGTATGCATGTGAATGGCTCTCACCGAAGGTGATTGCAACGCCATAAATTGTGTATAAACTTTGATTTCATTAAATTGTCCTTTATAACACCTTTGACCTTATAAATAGAATTTTATATAAATTGAATTTTCTCGATTCGTTTAAATTTACTTTTGACCATTGAATCGATGAATTCAATTCAACCGAATCGGATTGCTAGAATTTCAGAACTGCAGAAACAGTTTCCGAGCAAAAATTTCTTAGGCGACTTAAAGTTTTACGGCGATCACGCAGGATAATGAAGGAATGATTTAATCGTACAAAAGGATTGCATTTATTTTGTATAAAAAGAAGAAACGTAGAAAATCAGTATATACATAATAATACATAATTAAAATATCTACAAAAGGGTACATGTATTTTTATGTCCTTTACCTCTCTTAAACCTTTTTCCGCGTTCGTTGTAATCTTAGGGTAACATGTAGGATGACAGAACGTTTCGTATGTTACATCCCAGGCTTGGCACGCTAAAGATGCATTTTTCGTCTTGTAAATTATCCGCCTATTATGGTATGCCATAGGGTTCGTTCGTACGACGCTACTTAATGCGACGTGAAATTCGAGTCATCGAAGTTGCTATCGGAATTGCTTTCAGCAGCGTCGACGAAGGCGGTGGACAAGTCGCCGGACAATTTGCTGACGGATTGCGAGACTACATCATACATGAAGATCTCTTTCTCGCCTTGGTCAGCGTCCTCCGGCCTGCAACATCAACGGGGGGGGGACATTGTCTTAAGGCTGATGAAAGTGAAGCCGGTCGGACCCTGATCGTTACCATAAAAACAGGCGCAAGCGGAAGTTGGTTAAAGCGGCGCGGAATATTGCGATAGAAGAAAATAAGGTTCATTAAAAATTAATTGCGCGCACCATTTAAAGCGATCGTGCAAGTTAACGGAAAGCTAACGAGCGGGTAAGGGTAATTAGTTATGGCATAGCGACTACCACTTACATGGTTACCAGGAGAACCACCGACTGCTTCTGGGGCTCCGTGCGGCTCTCCTGATCCAACCACTTCTTGTAATTCTCCGCGGTTGGCTTTTTCACCAATTGCTTCAGCGTCTCGCCGGCGAGAAACTTGACCGCCTGCACGTCGGTGGCTCGTCTACCCTGCCTCTCGATCTCCTTCTCTTCTTGAAAGTTATAATCGACAGGAGCTAGCACGACCACGCTGGATATCTTTCGGCCGTTCAGCTGGGGAACATCAGGAATAGGGAAAGACGCGCCGCTCACTTTGAGCGGCAAGTAACGATTGTATTGAGCTTCGTCCCTGGCTCCCACGGTTACGGGATTCAATCTGGTAGCATCATCGCGTATGTGCTGATCCGCGAGCGCCTGGCCTTGCTCCGTATTCGGATCGAAGCGTACTACTTTCATCTCAACGCCTCCCGGGCGCAAGGTGGCCTGTTCGAACTTAGTCGAGCTGCCGGCAGTCGTCTTCCTCGGCAAGACGGCTGAAGAAGCGGATGAAGATGAGGTCGCGAAAGAGTCGGACGAGTCTGCCGTTTTGGGTTTCTTGACGATCGCCGGTACCGGTTCGCTGGCAGCAGCCACCGCGGAAGCGCCTCCGGCGCCGTAGAAATTCGCCAATGCCTCCGGCGGTAGTTTCTCGATCGGTATGTCGCCGACCTTGTCGTAATCCAATATCTGTATGTCGGCGTTACCCAAAATACCGGAGCTCAGCAATTGCTCCCTTATATCGTCCGGCACTTCATCCGGCAGGTTGGCGATGTTCTCCCTAATTTTAGCTTCGTTCTTTGGAGATGGAGTGGTCGTGGTTGTCGGTGCCTCTGTTGTCGTTGTGGTGACGGTGGTCGTGGTAGGCGTTGTACTAGAGATGAACGGTCTAATCGTAGATATCGCGTTGAAATCTTCAGTGTTAGTCACCGGGGTCGCGTAGATCTTCTGAGAGGGATTCAGAGAGAAGGACGGTCGGGCCCAGATCGACGATCTTTGGGATGACGACGGAAATCGCGGTTGCGATTGTTGCTGTTGTTGTTGGGAACTCTGCGAGAAGAATCCTTGCTGTTGATTTTGAAATATTTGTTGCTTCGTGTTCAGATGTTGTTGCTGATCGTTTATATACTGATTCGGTGGGCTCCTTATAAGGGTCTGGCTTTCTGGTGACGGACTTGGTGTTTGAACAGAACCATATTGGTTCTGCGACTGGTCTGAAAATCCTGTTGGTTGAAGTACGGGATTAGGTGGGAACGGACCAGGATGGAGTGGATTCTCTCGAATGGCGTAATGCTGCTCTAATTTTGGAACAGCTTTAAATATTTCTCCACCAGGTTTCTGAGCCTGGGGCTGAACCGGTATTTGCGGTATACCCGGTACCGGTTGCGGTTGATTGTACTTCAACTGTGCCCGGTACTGTTGGTCTTGCAACAGTTTCTGTTCCTGTTCTTGTTTCCTTCTACGTTGTTCCTGCAATCTTTGCTCTTGTTGTCTTTGTTGCTCCTGCAACCGTTGCTGATCTTGTACCCTCTGTTGTTCCTGTACCCTTTGCTGTTCTTGTATTCTCTGCTGTTCCTGTAACCTCTGATGATCCTGTTGTCTCAATTGTTCTTGCTGCCTTTGCTGCTCTAACAATCTCTGCTGTTCTATTTGCCTATGTTGATCCGTTTGCCTCTGTTGCTCCAAAAATCTTTGGTGCTCCTGAAGCCTCTGCTGCTCGTGTTGCCTTTGATGCTCCCGATGCTTCAGCAGTTCTTGTTGACGGCGTTGCTCGTGATACCTCTGCTTCTCCAATTCCTGTTGCTTGTAAAGAGGCAACGGTTGCTGCTGTTGTTGCGCGGGCTGTTGCTGATCCACGTTGAAATGGTTACCCTGGTTAATCGGTATCGGTTGATTTTGTATCTGCACGCTTTGATGGGAGACCGAGAGCGCTGGAGGAAATCCTGGTTGCGGCGGGTGATTAATGCTCACACGATGAGGCGGGCCGAAGTTGTTGAACGGCGAGCGTTGCTGCACTTCCGGCAAGCCTTGTATCGTAATTGGTAACCGTTGCGGCCTGGGCAACGGGTTTCTCGTTTGAGGCGGTGGCGGCGGGAATGCGGGCTGTTGTTGCAAGAAATTCAGAGGCGGTTGCTGGGGCGGCTGGTGCAACGTTTGCTGCTGCGGGAACGGACTAGCGATCCTCTGCTGAGGGAACGTGGAGGGCACTCTTTGATGCACCGGCTGGATCGGTTGATAAGGGCCGTGTTGCCGTTTCGGCGAACCGGGAGCGGAGGAAGCTGGTTTCGAGTGTTGAGTGGGCGGCGTCTCCAGGTCGCTGCGTTTATTGTGATTGTTCGGCGGCACCTGTTCCGTGCCGAATGTGACGCGAATCCCGCTAGAACCGGAATGGTACACTTCACTGTCCGGTCGAATAATCGCTCTCAAAGTCGTGGACGGTTCCGGCGGTGCCGGTGTCGCGGTGTGAACAGGTTCTTCCGGGTACGGCGGCGGGTTATCGGGCTTGATCTCCTCGTGTTCTTCAACAGGTGTCAGCGCGGGCACGGGCGGATCGTAAACGACTCGAGACTTGTCCCCGTACCCCTTCTTTTTTTCGTATTTCACGTAAAACACCTGTATAGGTTCTTTAGTAGGTCTCGGGGTCGGTGGCGGAGACGGCGGTACCGGCGTCGGCAACGATTCGTTCGACTCTTTGATGATAATTTCAATGATTGGCTCCGGCTCCGTCGGATAATAGTTTAACGGGCCCTCCTCGTAAAAATCGTCGCTCTTCGAGCTCGCTAAAGGATTATAAAGCGGGTCTCTCTGTGAGTACTGAACGATCGGTTCCATCTGCACCGCGTACGGCGGCGGTCTGGCACCTCGCCTCGGGTAAAATGCAACCTGTTGTCTCTTATCCCGACTCTTCGAGGACTCATCTTTGGCAACGATCGTGACGACCAGCGTCGCCGTCGCTACGACAATCTGAAACGGTGAAACTCCGTCGAAGTATCGCGAGAGGATACATGAACCGGGTAGGGAGGAATTCCGCGTACGGGCGTAAAACGCATTCGCAGAAAGATCGGGAAGCGCGTGCGTAACCGAGTGACCCGATTAATAACGAGAAGAAACATCCTGCCAAGGCCTTAAGCGGCCGAATCGATTGGTATTCTAGCGTCGCCGAATGGACAGTTACTGCTATACCCTGATAAGCGATTCCCAGAGCGCGATCGTGTTCCCGATATGGCGAGGCCGGGTTGCGGACGGGCACGCGCGGGGCATGGGATGTTTTTCGCGTGTAAATTACGTGAACCAAACAGAAATCTCCCGGTTCGTCCGCTCTGCGTTCCGACAGGGGAAAAAGTAGAAGGAGAAGAAATTTAGGTTTTAGATTCACCGTCGTGCGCGTTTCACCTCGAGAATTCGGTGACTCTCCTAAAGCGGGGACTCCTTAATATTCTTCTCGAACAAAAAGAAAACTCGTCTCCGTCGAACGCGGCCGCCCGATGAACTTTGTTTACGTGGTTTCAATATTAAACGCAGGCAAACGCGCACGGTGTACCGTCGTCGCGATCCCTTGAAAAATCACGTTTCCACGAGCTCGTGCGTACTCCCCCCGAGGCACGAATACATCGGTAATTCGCTAAACATACATAAACGCGTCGTTAATCCGATATACTTTCCCTCGCTAAGTAGCCGAGAGCGATACGCTGACTGATTACAAATGATAGAACCGCGCGTCGAACGTTCCCCGTAACCGCCGAGGAGACGAGACACGCTTATTACGATGAAAGTATAAGCGTGCACGTTCTCCCAAACGAACTATCCGTTTTTTCTTAACGCGGTACTGCCGCGAGTTTCACCGGTCGTCGGGAACACTCTGGCACGACACCCAGGCACGCAGTTTTACACCTGCCTCTTCCGTTTTCTTTTGTTTTCGTTTTAATGCTTTTTATAATTACCAGTTCAAGGAAGCGCATGGCGTGTCTCTCGGACTCGTCGCTCGAACAGCCTCCTTTTCGTTACGTTCCTCTTTTTTCCCGTGATCGTTACAGTCACACTACACCGGGTTCACGTGTTAACTCGACCGAGGGGCGGTTAACTCGCGGTGAGCAACATGATATCCACAGGACCGGGCATGTACTGAACGATATTGAATGGAGAGCTTCGCATGGGAACTGAGGACAGATTGGGCCTGGAGGCCCGTTTCTCCCTACCTGATGCCACCACCACCGGCCCTCTTCAAGAAGCTCCTCTCTAATATCGCGTACGGTGGGGCACCTTTCTCTGGCTGGTGGCTACGTACGCTTCGTGCGGCCTAGCGTTAAACCCGCGCGCCCGTGCAGGACGTACTTACAGAGACTGCGGCTGTTCGAGACAAGAGGGAAAAAAAAGGCAAGGTTCGAGCTGTACGAAGAGACACGACCGGGTCGGGAAGGGGAAGCGGGACGCGAAGTTGTTGTCGACTTTCTTTAAATCCGACTCCCGATCGAAAGGAAAGGAAGACGATTATATTAACGGAGCGTCACTTTTCCATTGACCTCCAAGGCCTATCGAAACCGAAACCCGCCTTTCCCGTAGGAGAAGGCCGTGTCCGCTGTTGGCATCGCGCGCGTCCACCGTCGAATTATTCGGTGAAAGACTACCGCGTTGTTACTTAGCAACGCGGCGCGATCAGGCCCGCGCGAACGACCGTGCGAGGTGCGCGTCAATGCACTTATCATTACTTTCGCTAAAGCCTCACGGCGGTTCCGAGCGAATGATTTCTTGCGAACGAATCATTTCCTGCGTGTATAATGACCTTTCTTCCACGACGATAAGCAAATTCCTGCAAATCACTTTTGCCGTCCATTGGCGAAACCATTTGGAACACGACAGCTTGCCGCCTCGCAACGGACACTTGCACTTTATATGCACATATCTTTATTTAATTCAGTACCATTGACTTTTTAACGATGCAAATTGCCCGGTCGCCTAAATTAAACGTGGAACGAGGATCTATTAAATCATAGTTTTTATTCCAATTTCTTCGCCATCGTTTATGAATAATTAATAAATGTTATTAATAATATACACTGGCGCCGCGATTAACGTAAGTTATACACGCACGGGGCGCGTAAAATCTACGCGGAGGTTAATGGTTTGGCGGATATCGATTTCACGGTTTCTCTTTTCTCGTAACTGAAAATAGATGCGTTACGACAAGATCGCGCGTCGTAAAAGGATCGGGTGCATCATTTTTCCGTAAATCCCGTGCGATCGGTGTGAAAGGTAGAAATCTGGAATGCCTGTTAAACGAGGATGACCTGGTAAAACCCTTGATTGCAAAAGCTCTCGTGATGTAGAGTTCTCATAGTTGCGTAACACGCATTCTGGACTGATCTATCACGCGGCCAGACGGATGGATCCGCTCCAACGGTGTCCTACACGGCTGTCTTCCTGGTCCTCCGCGAGGAGTCACTTTTGAACTTTACGGTCGCCGGATACGAAAGGAATCGTGACCGGCGGTTTTCTCTTTGCGTCGCGAAAGTCTAGGTACACACGTCAGTTTTGAAATTAGAAGCTACGGGTATTGACATTTGTAAAATTCGATGGACCATAAGTGACCAACGGAGATGAGCAGTTGGCGAATATCCTCGCGCCGCGTGAAGATTCGACGTCGCTCGTCCTACTTGGAAACTTTCACTTACGTTGGCGTAAGAGGTCCAAATAACCGGCGAGAGATTCGAATGTGATGGCTGAAGAATCTGGTCAAACGGTCAGTGGTTTCGAATTGTGGAGCAACTCGAGGAAAAAGGTGCCGGCAAAAGAAAAAAGATGCATTAACGTTGTCAGAGGTAATTCAAATGGGTTTTCATCGCAGAAACTTTACAGGACACGGTTGATGATCTTGCGCACGGCGGAACCGCAGGATGTTTCATCTCGCGAATACAACGACTGTTTAGAAATTCGTTGTTACCATTTAATTTTAACGGACAAACACGCCGCACGATCAAGGATCGCTGGTTCAAGCAGGTGTAAAAAGTAGGTTTTATTACGACGTTTAGCAATAATTGCGAAAGTAGTCTACGAAACAAACGCTTCAGAGCGGATTGCACGAATTTCAATCGCCCAGTTCTCATGAAAGTCCGAGACACGGAGCGGCAGATGATACGGTTCTCCTTCTACAGGCTGCCAGTTTGTAGGTATATAGTTCTACCCGAGAGCAGTGCGCTCATGAGCAATAACGTAACTGCTGAAGAGTGAAAGTGCTGTAAAGTGGGACGCCGCGAAGATAGCACCTGATCTTTTAATTAATAAATAAAGCAAGCGAACGCCTCCGAGTTTCCCTGACCCTTTGTGTCGAAACGCCGGAAGATGTCCCCTTTATGCGACCTTGATCAACGTATTAGGGATTCGGGATACCTTCGTGGGAATATTATCTGATGAACGGCGATTGTTCTCTTTATTCGGTAGACCTTAAAAGATTTCGTGTTAAAGAACCGTATAGTGGCTCATGCGATCAGATTTTGCAACTGGCGATTCAATGCTCTCCGTTTCGGCGGTAACTTTCCTTTACAGCAGGCTTTATTATATTGACATATGCACATAACTACGTTATATAATTGGATAGTAGAGGCAGTGTTAAACAAAAAAGTATCTTTAATCGATGTTATGTCTGCTGCACTTTCTATTTCTGTCGTAGAGAGTGCAATTTTGAAATCTCGTTTGGCCGGATATATAAATAATGTTACGCGACGAACAGTTAGTTTATAATATGTAACATAGGATTAGGTGGAGAACGGAAGATAAGGGAATTTTTTGTAATTCGTATGAGGTGACCGAAACCACGTGGAGATAAGTTAAATTTCCGCGGCCATTCCGTAGCAACGATGGCCGCACTTGCAGACGCTCAGTGTGTATGCACTGTCTGTACAAAAATACGTGTTACAATCGACCACATTTTGTGCGTTTTAGATATATACGGTTGGCTATTAGATTCTTATGTCGTGGTACGTAATATTACATAAATATTGTTAATGTATTTCATGTAGAAGTATTTTCGTTGCATTTTGCTCGTAATACATCGATACATCCTTGGACATGTAAAATTTAAACATGTAATTGTTGTTGAACAGTTTCGTAACCGATGAGCTCGGGAAATTAAAGAAATATTATTTTCATGTTTTAGGATTTTTTTCAAGACAGATTATGGGATAGATTGCCTGCAAGTTGGAGGTTCTCTCTGAAAGATACATCTCCTCAAGAGTTTGGGAAATGGTTGTCGGGAGACATCTCGTGGTGAGTGACGGTACTGTATACCTTCATCTTATGCACATTATATTGTAAATTATTTAATTATGTTGCAGCACACGAGTGTGGCCATTATCGTTACTTGCACTTCGTCAAGTAACTAACAATTTGCAAATTAATAGAAATAATGAGGACCCAGCAAGTGTTGTATCTTGTGAACTGAACAATATAGAAAGAAATAATGATGAAAAGAATGTTGATGAAGCTCAAGCAGATGTACCAAATGAATTTAGTCCCTTAGATAGTAAATTTAATAAATTGTTTTCGAAGCATATAAAAAAGAAAAAGAAATATGAAATACAAGAAATAGCACAAGTAAATTATTCCTTTTTTCTTTTCTACATGGAAGTCATTGTACTCTAATGCATTGTGAGTATTTGTAGGTATGTGCGAATTGTGCGTATGACTCTAATTGTAAATGTATTGTTGATATTGGAGCTGGAATGGGTCACTTGGCTCGTATCTTAGCATTTCGACATGGATTATGCGTTACCTGCATTGAACAAGATTGCATATTACTGCAACAAGCTAGGTAACAATTTCAGAGTATGGTATTAATATCACAGTTGATACAAATGTTATGTTCATTATAGGAAATGGGATCAAGAACTGTTAATGTCTGTGAAAAAGCATTTACCTAATTTCTGTAAGAAAGGACCACAGCATTACACAGCCAAATTGGAGTCATCTAATTTAATTGAATCAGAATTAGTTAGCCACCTACAAGACTTATTTCAAACTGGATTTAACTTAAGTAAAACAGACACTGCATTTGGTCTTGTAGGGCTACATCCTTGTGGAGATTTAGCTCCATTGTTGTTAAGGCTTTATTGTTCCAGAAGTGAAGCCAAATTTATTTGTATTGTAGGATGTTGTTACATGAAATTAACTTTAAAGTTCGTATAATAATCAAGTCATTATTACCAACATTCTTGTTCTCTACAATGCGATTCAATTTCAGGTCAGGAATAAGTGAAGTAAAGGGTTACCCACTTAGCAATTACCTGATGGCATGTAAAAATCATACATTAAGTTATACTTCATTAGAAGTGGCATGTCATGCCATTGAAAAGTACTGTGACAAATTAAAGACTGGGAATTATGAAGATTTAATAGTTAAGTGAAACAATAAATATATATAGATTTGAGCATGTTATTTAATGTGTCATGTTTTAGGTCCACACATACAGAGCAGCTTTAGAAACAATTTTAATAAAGAAAAGTGAAAAACTAAGGCACAGTCAATTAAGGAATGTCAAAGTGACAAAAGGGATGACATTTCAACAGTTGAGTACCTTGCGTTGCACACCGAAAATTTGAATTTTTGACCGTTATCGAACAAAAAGATATTCAACAAAATGTTTATCTATTTAGGTACTGCATTGCAGCAACATTGCATTTCGCTACTTACCTGCAACCAACAGACTCCGACATCGATAATCCAGAGATTAACGGCCGCCTAAATCGCTGGAAAGAAGTCATAGTATTCGGTTCGTTGCGAATGATGTTGGCGCCATTAGTGGAGACCGTTGTGCTGTTCGACAGATTCCTATATCTATCTGAAAAGCATTTATCCCCGACATTAAAACCAGTGTTCGACAGCAGACTATCGCCACGGAATTTAGTACTAATATCTAGGAAAAATAATTAGTCAATTAATCAGTGTCATATCACCTTCCGACGAATCGCTGTTTCGAACATCGCCGATTCACCCCACCCCGCCAACGGAACATTCCTGCAGTCGCAGTTCCCGCGTCCACGAATCAAAGTTTGCCCAGCTTACAATGTGCCTTTGATTGGACAATACCATTCAATTACAATTGTCGATGAACAATGCATTTCAATTTCCTTCCTTTCACGCGTACCGCCGCGACTTTTCCGAAATATCGTCGAAACGACGGGACACGCGTCGCGCCCGGACCGTTTCGTCTCATTGTAAGTATAAATATAATGTTCAGTCACGGGACTCGTGCGGATCGCGCGAAGAGTGGGCCGCGGGCCAATCGGAGCCCAGATCGACCAATGGGAGCGCGTGCGCGCGATTCCGCCCTAAGGATTCGTTGGTGTTCGAGCGGTGGCGTCGTTAGATAGCGCTGCAGTAGCCGGCTACTTCGCTAGAGGCAGAGACGTTCCTCTCCAGCAACATCGAGATCCAGTTTCCCTTAAGCCGCTCTCGCGCGTTTGTCTGTTCTCGTCGCGTTCGCGTCGTGTCCTACCGATTATTTTCTCCTTCCTCCCCCCCTCCCCCGCCCGCGCACGAGATCGTCGACACGGTAGAGAGCCGCGCGGTATACACACGGACGTGTCGTTGTAGCACCGAGTGTCCCGCTTTAAAAGTAATTTGCCCGGTGCCGAGCCCCAGGATGGCGTTCAACGGAGACGGACCACACTCCAAGAGGCAGCGACTCGAGGAATCCGGCCACAGGGTGAGTAGTTTTGTCCAGCGCCGTTTAGAACGTACGATCCCCGGCGGGCGTGCGGAACGGTGTGTTGCTCTCGGTCCCAGCGAAAAATCGTAACGCGAGAAAGGGGGGGAGGCTCAGCCGCGGTGTGGTGTGCAGGTTTCAGTTTTTTCTGTGTTCGGTCGGCGTACGATAAAAATTTCTTTCGCTCTCTCTCTCTCTCTCTCTTTCTCTCTCCCTCTCTCTCTCTCTCTCTCTCTGTCTCG